AACAAGTGTACCCTATTTGATCTTGCACTGGCACTGTCCTTTAATTCAAATAGATTTCCCTCTTTAGCTGGTATTCCCTTTCCTCTCCTCCACACGAATTTAATGCTGAGTAGTCATTTTCCCCTTCAGCCTTTTCAAAGACTCAGCATAACCACTAGAAAGGGGTCCTCCCCCAGGCAGCACATATCCTCCAGTAAATGCCCGTGTCCAGTCACACACCCTCTCACTCCTTCAGTGAATCACCCTCCTTCTGCACGCTCACCGAGTATCGTTGTTACACAACAGGCACTTATATCCTACCTGTAACTTGTTCCAGTAATTAAGATTCCCCATGGTCCAGCTCATAGCCTGCAGGCCTGATTTAAGGCCTGGGAAGCTTGTGTTTGACCTGCCATGGTACCCTGGAGGAGCTATTCAGATGCTCACACTACCCTAAAAAGTCCAAGTCCTTGTATCTGAAACCAGGTCCCGACCATCTCCACCGAGGTCTCACTGCAGCGTGCTCCCTAATGTGAAAAGCACCCCCCAAATAACTGGATCCTCCTGGTTCAGTTTTCCTTCCCTTCCTCATCCACTTGGAGACACACAGCTGGTTATCACATGGAGGCAGTGGGCTCCAATTGTCACAAATACCTGAACGTAAGTTTATGCCGTATAAATGGAGTCCATCTTGTATAAATCACAGTTCTGAGAGTATTTGTAGCTCTGCTTTAAGCACACCTCCAGCATTGTTTTTCCCCTCTACCAGGATGGCTCTACAGATCTGTCTGGATGCATTGCTGAGTGAATCTGATACGTGTGAGCACAACACGAAGCCTTGAACTCGTTCTGCCTGCTCTGCTGTCACACGAGGAGCTGGGTAACGCGTGGCCATTGCTCAATGGTGTCTACAGGCTCCATGGACTGATTTCCTGCGCTCTACTTGTGGCACGAGCAGCCTGCGTGCATTTCAGAGCAACATTTTCCAAGCTGTGTTTTATATGAAGGTGTAAGAAATGAGAAAGGACTGAAAATATGTAGGATGTGAAAGGGAGCGTGGATTAGTGGGTAGAGCACAGAGCAGGCAATTAGCAGACAGGTTCCCCGCTCCTAGTTTGGTTGGAGCTGTTGTGAGAACCAGGGCCAGTGAATCATGGGCTGGTTGATCTAATTCTCTATGACTCTCCATGACTTCATCGGTCATTGGTGTTTGAAACGTTTGAAACTCTGCTCGGGAGCCTGTCTAAAGGAGTGCCCCGGGGTTGGCTTAACTGTTTCTATTCTGTTTAGTTTGAAATGGACCCAATTTTTTCACTTTTTCCATCCTGGGGAAATTTATTTTTTTTTTAGGTACCTACCCATGAAGATTTTTGTGCAGCACACTGCACTGTAGAAACACTTTAGTACAAGCAAACTTACTGGTGTTTATACAATGAAAAAAATGAAGTTCAAAACAAGAACAAAAGCATCATGGAATATTAAAAAAAAAATCAGGGATTTAGAGGGGTCACAACCATAAAAAATAAGAGACTCAGCAAGCAAAAAGGCTGCATAGCTATTTCAGAAAAAAAAAGTTTTACTTTTGCTGAAAGTTTTCAGTCAGCTCCACGGTACATGCCTCAGTTTCCCTAATTGCTACATGGGGTTAGCAACCCAGACCTATTTTGCAAAGGTGTTGTCAAGTTTAATTTGTGAACCTTTGAAAAGCGCCCCGAGTTTTTCAGATGAAAGGCACTGCAGATGCCAAACGTGGGTGTATGCTCTGAGTCAGAGGCATAGACATGGGCATATTGTGTGATCGGCTTGACGCAGTGCACTAGATAGGAGACAGTTGTCCTCTGCAGGAAACGTAGGGATGGCTGGTGCAAAAATCACAGCTGATGCTTACACAAGTGTGAACTCATGCTATAGAAATCAGGAGCCACCCTCCCGGGAGGTGCAAAGATAAAACCTGCAATAAGGAGACATCCAGTCTGTACTTTACTTTGGCTCCTAAATTGCCTGAAATACATGTGTGCGCACGAGTCTTCTAAATATGGTTGGGCACTGAAGCACAAATTGTCTAAGAAACTACCCTTTAACTAGCAAACTGCCCTTTAACTGCAGTAGTCCGGCTGTGATTCCATTAGCCAGCACTGGCAGTGGTTATGAGCACCAAGAAGACCGTGTGCACCTCAAGTTTCAGACGGGTGTGAACAGTAGGTCTCCCAGGAAAGGCCAGAAATAACAAGAGAGAGGTGGGCCCCATCTGCAAACAATTTTTTGGCACGAAAAAGACATGATGAGGCGTGATGAGGTGCAGAGAGATGATGGGGAAAAGAGTGGGCAGAGCTGTAGTCTCAGGACATGTGGCAGGAGGGGGGATGCATTTAGCTCTTGCTGGTGACACTTGCCATGGGCCTGCCATGGTTTCACGGGTGTCTGCAAGCAGGATATGCCCAAGGCACTAATGCCAGGCATATGGGATGCTGTGAGAGTGAGCTGAGGTTGAGAGGGGACCTCTGGAAGTGGCATTACGTAGAAGTGACTGGCAGCAGCAGGGAACGTTCCTGAGGCACACGCGAGTGATGTCCTTCCTTTCTTCTGCAGACACAAGGGAGGTTCAGCCCAAACTACTGGTAAACAGACTCCTTTATCAAGAAATCCAGTTTGTACTTGGCTCCATTAGGTGGTATGTGTGCACCTGACACAGAACATTTATAAGCTGAGGATGCTCCAAAATTAAGCAGCAAGGACAGATGCCACCTGAGCCATTCAAAAGCCAAAGCAGAACCTGCAGCTTTATGGAACACACCAACTGTCACGAGCGCTGACAACACAGTCTGGCGTGGCATTAGATGATAGACATTACAATATCTTCCATATCAAGCAGAGCCATACTTCACCAGTATGGCTGGCATCAGGAATTATTGAAAGGTGCCGGTCTTGTATTTGCCTCTGAGTGTACAGGAGAATCAATAACAAACCTCTGCCCGAGCCCAGTTACTCCTAAATCTGCCTGGAATAGCTGGATTAAACTCATTTACTCTGGATTTGCATCAGGGAAACCAAGACGAAAAAAAATTCAGTCCTTAATCTTTTTACTGACATACGTACTCTGAAATCTTAACAAAGTGTGAGGAAAAGAGAAATCCCACCTAATTCCAAGATAGACCACTTTCATATAGATGTTTTTCATCTCTTAAGTATTTGTGCTAGCTTGGAAAAGCTCTGCTGAGTCTTTTCTGTACACGTGAGAACAGGTACCTCCACCCTCCAGTATTTTTAATTACTTGGAGATCTATAGAACTGTTGATGTTGTAAAGATCAGCTCAGCCCAGGAAGCCAAGGGGAAAGAAATATGTCATTCAATCTCTTTCTTTTATGAGATTTGTTTTTAAAAAATAGCACTGCCCTTTCCTATGCCAAAGAATGACTTCTGACTCACGAAAGACTATGGTCCTATTAATAAAAAACCTGTCCATTAGAAATTACAGAAAAAGGCATGGCCTTTCCCAACAACTATTATCCATAAAAAAACCCTGTATACTGAATCATTTCTCATATATAGAGAGCCATAACAACACACAGGCTGTAAGAGGGGCTAGATCTATAAGCCAGAGGTCCCAACTGCATTTCAGAAAAGAAATAAAAATTCTTCCCTTTTCTCTCATTTTGCACAGCCAAAGAGACTGTATCTGTAAGACAAGCGTTTCCTGGTCATCTCATTCTCATGTCAGATCCAAAATGTATGCTGTTCCTGTTTTGGGCTGCACCTCTATTTCCTCCACACCTAAAAAAGAGCTGCAAAATGCAGACCTGGATTTTTCCTCCATTACTTAGGACACGAGAAACTGGGATTTTGTTACGAATTTCTAATGAAAATTTTTTACAGGCTAAAAATCACATTCTCCAGCAGCACCGCCATTGCATTCTGTGAAAATTAAATTAAGCCATGGTTCATTTACACCCTGGGCATTAATCTCAGAGCAATCTCACTGAAATTCAGAGCATAATCTATGCTAAATTGATAAGATATGAGTGGAAGACCAACCTCCTTCTTTTGAAGTTGATGGAATTCACCAGTGCTTATAAAGGGTCTTTTTCTTCTGAAATCTTCTGTGATTCCAACAAGTTGAACATTTCCCAGAAATACAGCTACTGGAGGCAGATCTATTTTTAACACTCTCAGTTCTTTTTTCTTGCAAGAAATATTTTGGCCATCTAGCTGTAAAATATTTCTTTTTTCCAAGTATGCTACAGGTATGTCTCTCAGTTCAGTGGACGTTTATGGGAAGAGCTACATAAGATATACCTGAACCCTTATCTCAGTGAGAACACACAATGAAATAGGCAATGGGGGTTTTATTCTGCTAGTCACATTAGTGGACATCATATGGCCTGTGAGAAAAACAAGACTAGCCAATTTTTCCTTCAGGTCAGCTGTGTTCTTCTGATACGTGGTTGGGCTATTTCCAGGACTAGATGGATGGACCTTGCACAAACCCAACATCAAAATCAAAATAAAGATAACAGGGTCTTTTAAACCCACTATTATCCATATGTTTCCCCTCCCTGTCCTACTGAATACAGTAAGCCCTCAGGGGAACCCAGTTTAAGAATGCTTTATTCTAGGCGTTCATTTTAATTACAGCCATAATTATTTTTGTGCGTTTGACCCAGTTAACAAACCCATCTTCGACATCTCATGGTCTCTCCGACCCTGCCCATCTCTGCAAGGAGGTAACCTCAGCTCCTGGTTACAACAACGAGCAAAATTATTTTTGAAACAAGCGGTCGAACTGGTTGCTACATCTTAATGAAAATGATTTAAAAAAAAAAAAAAAAAAAACCCAACACATTTCTATGTATATAAACAGCCCTTCCTCCCAAACCTGGTTAGACAAGAATGTTCCTGGGTGTGGACTGCCTTGTATAATTAACTGCACAGCTGTAGCTTCTGATCCCTCCTAACGTCTGTTTCTTTCTTTCTCCCTGCGTCTACCTAGCATAATCCAGGCGCTCTCCTCCTCCTCCTCGCAGGAGCCCCAGGTGCGTCACTTGGGCAGAAACTTTCCTGCATTCCACCGTCATTCCTTGCTGAGACAACGACCGGGCAGACGTACCCGCTTTCTGGAGGGCTGAGGGACAGGAACTGGGGGAGAGACTGAGCACTGAAGCCAATTTGCCCTGTTTAGACGATGGAAACGGGGAGCGCAGCAAGGACAAATGGTACCACTGGGAAGCCAGAGGATGTGAAGAGTCCATCTGCCCCCAAAAAAGAAGAGGAAGCGAAGAAGACCACAAGCCCTAGTGGCGGAGAGAAGGAACCTCTGAAGGGCACTGGCAGTCCTTCTTTGGAGACAGGGCAAATCAAGAGCTCCCTTTTCTCTGGGAGTGACTGGAAGAGGCCCATCATTCAGTTCGTGGAGTCATCCGATGAGAAGAGATCGACCTACTTCAGCATGGATTCAGCAGATTCAAAGAAGATGCAATATGCCAGTGGACAGATAGGAGACATGAGGAGGCCACCCCTCTCCTTTGCAGAGAAAGGCGATCTCAGGAAGTCCCTCTTCTCCTTGGATTCCAAAAAGAGCTTCCTGCCTAGTGAAGGGGAAGGGAGGAAGTCATTGTTCTCTGGGGGGCAGATGGGGGACCTGAAGAAAACTCTCCCTTTGGTGGAGACAGGGGACCTGAGAAGATCCACCTTCAACAAGCCTGACAGAGCGGCTGGGTCACGGCCCAGGGTGAAGCTCGAGGATGTTCTGTGTGATTCCTGCATCGATAACAAGCAAAAGGCTGTGAAGTCCTGCTTGGTGTGCCAGGCTTCCTTCTGCGAGCTGCACCTCAAGCCCCACCTGGAGGGAGCAGCTTTCCGGGACCACCAGCTCCTGGACCCCATCAGGGACTTTGAAGCAAGAAAATGCCCTGTGCATGGGAAGACCATGGAGCTGTTCTGTCAGACAGACCAGATGTGCATCTGCTACCTCTGCATGTTCCAGGAGCACAAGAACCACAGCACAGTGACGGTGGAGATCGAGAAAGCGGGAAAAGAGGTAATGCTCTTTTTATTGCACGTTCCCAATCTTTCCAATGGTCCTCAATAATTACACCCCAGTTTCTGCTCTCCAGTCTCTCCTAAAATCATGTCTGCGATGTAATTCTGGGATGCAGGGGTTGTGGATGGGAGGTGTTCAGTGGAGAACGGATGTTGCCTGGCATCTGCTGTGATAGGGTTGTCATCCTCCAAATGGCTGGTTACAGCAGCACAGCACTGGTGGTGTGCACCAGAACGGGGTGGGGGGAGTGGGGGGTGAGGGGTGGAGAACTCAGTTTCCACCACTGACTTTCAGCAGAAGCTGAATCAAAGCCCTGTGTTCTAAGTTTTCAAAAAAGTGCCTGGAGTTTTGACAGTGTTTGTATAGTGTTACCCACAGCCAGAAAGGTGGGGCACTGCTCAAGTTCAGGACCTCCAGAGGACAGGTCGATCAGTGGCTGCCCAAGTTACTAGTGCTGCTGGGTTACTATTGAAAATTGCCATCTCAGCTATTTAGAGTGAGATTATGGCTTTTTGTTTTTCTTTGCTGTTACGGATATAATGGTGGCAAGCCCCACCTATGGGAAGAATCTTTTGAAGCTTCGATGAAGAAAAAATGCTGGTGCAAACACAAAACGTTATCATTTCCCCTGATGTGTTACTACAATAGGCTCAGAGGATGGACATCTAAGGAGATGAGGGTGGTATGAAAAAGTGCTCACTCTCATGAAAAGTCTTCCACCTTTGTTTGGTTAAAGCCTCATGCTGTTTGCTTTCTGGGTGGATGTATGATTATTCCACTAGCTCTAGTCAAGATTAGGGTCTCACCATGTTCAGTCCTGCACATCCCCATAGTAAGAGCATGTTCTGGCCTAGATCCCTTCTGATCTAAGCAGACAGGACAGGAGAGATTACAGAAAGGAGACCCATGAAACCGTAATGCAAAACAACTTGCCTAGAGTCACACAGACAGTCTGTGGTAGAAACTGGAAGGGCACTAAGATCTGCTAAATCCCAGTCTTGAGCACAGCCCAAGCCAGCTCTCTGGTGTGGTGAACAGACAAATACGAGTACTCTCTGTTGGAAAATTTTGAATTACCCTTAACTTGGAAGAACCGTTTAATTCTTTCTAATGTGCTGAAAGAACATTTTATCTAGAGCTTCTCTCTGTCTTCCTGTGCAAATGTCTGGTCTTTTCTTGCAATGTCATCTCCAACTTGCAGCCCTGCTGAAACCAGACAAGGTTTCTTCCATGTCTTAGACAGTCTTTCTTAAAGAAATTCCTGCAGGGCTCCCCAGCCTGCTGTTTGTTTCATAATTACGTGTTCTTGTGTTTTTGATGTCAGCTCTGAACATAGCATATGCCTAACTCTTGTAAAGCTGTGTCTAGTGTCTGCCAGGTTGTCCAATCCCTCTTAAACATTTCTGCTGAAAAGAGGTTAACAGTTGCTCCCTGAGGAACCAAAGCCTTCTTCCTGTGGTTGGATGGATCTAGGACACCTTGCTTTTAGAGGAAACTATAGCTGGGCTGAAAAGACTTTACCTAAAATTTAAATTGCGTTGGATTTCTTTCTTAGAGTCCTTGTGCCACTGCTGTTAGCTCCATGCTTTAGTTCCTGTACTGTCCCCTGTACCGTTTCTGCTGCTGCTGAGCCTAAAGGATTTAGGGCTTTATCAATATGAATCATACACATGTGCAAGTTTCTCCTCACAACGAGTTTTGATCATGTTGTAACTTGAGTGAGTATTCACTCAGACAAAAACAATTACCAGGATAGCTGTTGCTTACAAATGTTTACTCCTAGCCCTCATTTATTAACCATTGGTGGAGCCTTAGCAAGAACCACAAAGAGGAATGAACATTTCCAAGTCCCTTGTGTGCACCACCTATTCTTTTCAAGTCTTGCAAATCAGCTGAGCTGGAATATGACCACAAATTGGAAGAGTGGCAAAGTGTGGCTGGTGCTGCTGGCCTTTGTGGAAAGAATAAGCAAAAAAACCCACATCAGGTCAACCCCATCCCGGGCCCATTTTCACAGCTTGGCCTCCAAGCAGCTCCAGGGTAGCTTTACTGCCTCTAAATTTGCTAACTACACCAGAATACAGGTGTATCCAGACAGACCCTGTTACACAGTGTTGGTTATAAAGGAACAGCTGGCTTATCTGCAAGGATTTCCCAGTCCTTGGCTATACTGTGACTCCAAACCTGGAGAGGATTCCAGCAGAACTGGGCAGGGGGAATTCTGTGCTGTGATGTACTTTGGCCTGTCAGTCTGGGTGCTCAGCAATACACAGGCACAAAACTGTCACATAAGAAGGTGCAATATCCTTGTTTTAGGTACATCTATTCCTTTCGTATTGCAGAATTAATGCAGGCTACAGTCTCTTTCATTAGTTTATCTTGTTTATCTTTGCTATAGCCCTGTAGGGAAGAAAGGTGCTATACTTTAGTGTTGGGAAAGCAAGGGAGAGCTTAAGATCCTTCTGTAGAATTAGGTAACTGCTTGCTCCACAACGCAGACACAGACAGTACAGCTTAAGAGAAGAATGCCAGCAAGCCAGTCTACAGACACCTACTAGTTACAGCATTTAAGCAAGCAGTGGAAAGCCTGAGACCTCTCTTGTCTGTGGAAGAGAGGGCGAAAACAGCTGCATCTGCCACTTTTCAGGAGCCTGGGGTGAGAATTGGTCATCTCCCTTTTCCTGGTGCGACGGAGACAACTTGGCAGGGAAAACAAGAGACATTTTTTCTGAGTTTCCACCCAGTGGTATTTGCGTATTTTACCCAGCAAGCCTTTAATGCCTTCCCCAGACCCACTTTGCATTAGTTTCCTGCTACAGATTTAAAGGAAAAGTAACCAGAACCAGTACAAGAAACAACCAAGAGAAAGTCTGCAAGGCTGGGTAATAACCACACGGCTGCAAAGTGAGAATTGTCAATAGCCTCTTGTACACTCAACTAAACCCCTCTGGCCAGCTTGATTTATCAGCAGAACTCGAGCCCCCCTTTCAGACAGCATCCTTCATTTTGAAAGGGGATCCTTCATTCAAAACCTGTTTTACAGGCCTGTTCTCAAAATGAGACAACTTCACATATGCCTGCCAGTCACAGAGCTGTAAATAACCCGGCGTTACTATCCAGCGCCAGCCTTAGTGCTCAGCATGTCAGGTCAGTTCTAGTGAAAAGCACTTTGATTTTTTTTTTCTTTTCTTTAATTCTTTACCTTTAAAGAAAAGTTCACATTGTACAGCAGGTTTAAAGAGGCAGCAGAGGACTGCTGTGCAGAACCGGGAGCTGGGTGTTCCTCACTTCAACAAAGTGACTTTTAAAAGGGGGAGACTTCACAGAGTCTGAACCGGGCTTTGAAGTCAACCGTCCACAGAGATGGATTCAGAGGGATTTCCATCTGAGCCCTCTCTGTGTTGCTTTCACTGTCTGAATAGCGCGCAAACAGGAGTGCACCAACGTGCCAGTGGAAGGATTTTTGGCCTGTCTCATGCTAGACCTTATCTACACCAGTTGTGGCTGCTCTGCGGACACGGCTTAAAATAGATGCTCTTTCCACAGAGACGGTGCAGTTACAGGATGTTCCTCCTAAGCCAGGAGGCTGGGGAAGCTGTGCTGCACCTCGTGATTGAGGGCAGATTCGCCTGTTTGCCTGCATTCTGCATTAATGCCTCTACCGTAAGGGTTCCCAGAACACGGGGAAAAGCCACTCGTTTTTAAGGAATTCTCTTCAAACGGAGAGCCTTTTCCAGCCTCTGCTCATGCAGTGACCAGTGGTATTTTTGCAGGATGCTGGCCAAGTCCCCAGAGACTGCAGCCCGCTGACACCCACACCTCTGCCTGACAAAAGCTTAGACAGAAAAATGTAATGGCAAAACCAGCAGAAATAATGTCTCAAAACAATTTTCTGATTTCTCAGCCATGTCATTTCCAATACAGGCCCTGCACTGGGACAACAAGTTTAAACACTTCTTCTCCAGCTTCATTATTGCATTTGGTTGCTGCTGTCAGGCAATTAGCATAGCTCTGCCGGGCTGGTGACACAGGGGTGTTCCCTGAATCAGGGACTGGGTTCCCAGAGCATTAAGACATGACGATGCTTGTATTGCTGCCTTGCAAAAATGAGTTGCATCATGATGCAAGACCCATAATCTCACATCTCTAGGCCTTTTACAGCAGAAGGGCTGGGTTCAGTTGTGGATGTTTAGGTGTACACTCTGAACTTTCACTTCGGCCTCTTGCCTGTCCTAATTAATTTAGACTCTAATAGGGGATCCTCTCTGAGCTCAAAGACTCTCAGTGCCAACATTTCTCAACTTGCTATAGCCAAACTGAATGGTCTAAACCTGTATTTCCTAGATCTTCTTCCCTGATACTGTTATTTCTGCTCTGTAGGGACTCCCCCCACGATGGGTGGAGCTGCTATATTATCTTTTGCTTGGACTTTCTGAACCCCAGGTCTCACCCAATGGATTTGTTCTGGGTGGCTCATCACATAAGGGGATCAGGGATTGCTGACCCTGGAAAATCTGAGAAATATGAAGAAAGCTAGAAGAGAAGTTTCTTCATAGGGAATGAGGCTCAGAAGTTGGCTGTCCCTAGTACCAGTAACCACCCTACTGTAAATGGAACACTGGATATAAGGGGACAGCTAAAGCAGCTTCTAGCCAGTCCTAGACTGAACAGGGCCTTAAAACCAGCATGAAGTCACCTTTGCTGACCCCCTTATGTTGTGGTCCATGTCCAGATCACCCCCACTGAGCTCACCTCCTTGTGCCCATGTCACTAGTTCTTATACTATTCCATAGTCTCCCTGGAGCTCTTTTTAACATTTTTTGTATGGTAAGACTAGTTTTAGTGTTTGTACTATCATGCAATGAAACACCTCCCTTCACCTCCCTTGCCCTTGCCGGTGTCTGTAGTAGTGTTTCCTTCTGCCCTCAGTATGGGCGTCTTAACCCAAGCCCAACCTGGATGACTGTGGTATTTGCATTCTGGCTATTGGAACTATCTCTGTAATTTCCATTTGCAAATCATAAATCTCACTCTAAATGGTAGTGTGGGTCTGCTCTTAAATAGTTGTTACATCCCATCCCAGAGGCACCCAAACTATCTTCCTGGGTGAAGGGCTATTATAACTGCAACAAGCTGTTAAGAGTTAGCTATCACTTTTGAGCAAGTATTAGTTTCCAAAATTCCTTTGAGACTCATCTTAATTAAGAGATACTATAAAAGTATAATATTGTTATCACCACCTTTGAGCCATCACCTGAAATTTTTTCCTGTTACTTTTCTTTCAACTCCCTGGTGCTTGGGAGTGTTTATGTGGCTGTGAAAGGTCTTCTCTTCTCAAAAAAAAAATCCTTCCAGTCCTTCTCTGTATGATTTCACTTACATTCTTGTGATAAGTACCTCCTGATATTTAGGGATGAGGAGGGAAACAAGACCTCCCACTGCTCAGATGTGCTTTTTACTTTACTAACAATTAATACCATCTGGATGGAGCTCTGTGGCTCAAGGAAACAACTTGCATTATAGTGCAATTTCTCACATTGGTTACTGCAGTGCAGTGAATATCTGGATCTGAAATGCTTTTATCTCGTTGCATTTCCCCGCTGTGCAAAGATGGTTGCCCACCTTTGTGTCCTGATGGACAGGACATCTCACAATGCACATAAGAGTAGACAAAAGCATGCATTCCTCCAAGTCACTGTCTTGAAAATGTGAAAACGATACGATCAAGCTTATCCTACAGAGTGAATTTTCTCATCGTGATACCCTTATGGTTCCCTGATGATCCTGTGCCACAAATCCTTGTCTGTTCTGAACCCCTGTAGAATATAAGCTTCAGCTCATGATGGCATTCAGTTGGCTACTGAAGGCTGTCAGGATGTAGGAATAGTATTTAGAGGGCCAGTGCTCCCCTAACTCTCAACAAACAGGGACAATTACAATGGCAATGTGTGATGCAGCTCTTCTGGCACTGAGATACCTTCAAGTACATTTGCCTTTTTGTCCCCCCCCCCCTTTTTTCTGTTTTCTAAGGCAATAAAACAACAATCAAATAATTTTCCCTATATAAATAGAGATTTTCTAAATTAGAACAGCCAGAGTCAATGGCTCTCAGATGCAGCTGTGCTTGATTCAAGCTCAAGAGGATGTTCAGACACTACGGTGACTGGCACCAAGACAAGAGCCCTGTTGGGCTGATTTCCTTGGTCTGAGCTGGTTGACAGCTTGTTGCCTGCTCTTCATTGTGTGATGCTGTTTTCTACTCCTTGAATGAAGAAATTGAAATTTTTGACACTCCCAGCCCGAGGGCAACTATGATCACAAGAGAATACCCAGGTTTTCATGTTGTATTATGTTCTTGGATGGTTGGTAAAGCAGTGGGAACTACACCTTGCGTTAGACCTCACTGTGTTAGTTGCTGTGGGAATGGATTTATCCATCCCTCATCTCTCCTGCCTCTATTGGGCTAAATGTAGGTGCTTTTGGGCAATATGACCTTTTGCCAAAGGATCCCATGTGAACAGCAGGTTTTCAGAACTTTTCTAGTGCGACGTAGCTCATTTGAGGAACACAGGTAATTTCTGCCAACTGCATAGTTCCTGAGCAGCTCTGGGGAAGAGTCCCACAGCCAGATTGCCCGTAGTTATAGTTGTGCTGTGACCAACCTGTACACACATGAAACACAGAAAGACCTTGAAACGCGTAAACAAAGGCTTTGTCATGATCCTCTGGGCAGGGACGTGGTGAATGTGAACGACCCAGGGAGGGGTTGCCCAGAGTTAACGGCGCGAGGCATTGCTAAACGCCCTGGTCTGCTCCCGAGACGTGGTGTGCACACCAGCTGGTGTGTCACACCAGTGCACGGCTGCTCGGCCCTCCACCAGCTCCGGGTTTACGGGCTGCCTTGCATGCAATTGTCTGGTCTGAGCTTCTCTGGGAAGCCAGTGCAAAAACGAAATGCAAATGAATCCCAGTGAAGTTGCTGATCTAAGCCAAGCATGGTTGACTACACCTCTTCCCTCCTCCTTTTGTGTTTTTTTTTTTTATTTTTTTCCAAGCATTCCCCAGCTTCATCATAACATGAAAGCTCTCAATTCAGAGCAAATTAATCCACAATCCTGTCTAAACAGAATTCCTGCCGGAGGCATCGTCCTCTTGTTGCAACACTCGTCAAACGTCATTCCGTAATTACATGAAAACTGTTATTGCTGCAGAGGCACACCCTGGGATGGGCCCTTCACTGCATACACAGCTGAATTTTGAAACAGACCTCTTCCCCCTCCAGCTAATGACTGTAATGTGATTAAAAGCGGCACCATGACAGTAGCCTGGTAGGTGGGTGCTTCGGCTGCAGTCTTTGCTGAGGGAGCTGAATCCCTTGACCCAGCCAGAAGCTCTGGGATCTTGTCCAGTGTCAGCACATGATCTCCATTTCAAGCAGTGCCAGGAACCTGTACCTCCCAGCTATTATTGTTCAGGGCCAAATGCCTCAGTGGCAGCACAGCATCTCTTTGAAGTAGGCCACCCTCAGCCCCAGCTCATGAGACTCCTTCTCTTCTCACAGGCTGAGCTCTCGCTGCAGAAGGAGCAACTGCAGCTGAAGATCATTGAGGTAGAAGATGAGATGGATAAGTGGCAGAAGGAGAGGGACCGTATCAAGGTGCGTATGGGATTGTCTTCTAAGCACACTTCTCTGTTTCTCCTGTACTCATCACTCTCCACTCTCACATCCCTCTCCTCCTTTCCTCAGTTGCTCTGACGTATCCAGCTCTTACTCACCCCATTCCTTACCCAGGCTCTATCTCATCACTCTCCAAACCTCACTCATGCCAAATCTTGGAAACAACAACTCCTACTGAAGCCACCTTGCGACACACTGCGGGAGATCAAGGAGAGGCAGAGCAGCCTCGTTACGAAATGATCCAAGGCACCTCCCTGCTTTGGGTCCCTTCTAGTGCTTCAATCACCACTAGCCAGGGCTGATTCGGAAACAAAGGTGTGCTGCTTTTCTCCCTGCTAGACCACACACAAAAATAAACTCCAGAAGGGCTCTGGATTGCCCAAACAGAGATAAGGCAACAGGAACAGATGCAGTTACACCAACAAACATCTTGTTTATAATGGAACAGCTTATTTCCATACTGATACAGGGCTCCTTTATAATTCTTTCACCACGCTAAGGGTTAGAATAGAGTAATGGTGTTATTTTTTTTTCCATTTATACCCTGAATAGACCAGTGAAAACACTATTTGGAGACACCCCAGAAAATTTGCATAGTATTAATAGGCAAAGTCATTCTTCTCCCTTTTATGTGGTACACACACACTGGCTTGCCAGTTCTGCTTTTTGTCTGCTTTATTATTATTATTATTACTGTTATTACTGTTATTATTATTATTGGAAATCTGACCTAGAAATTTTAACTCTGAATATAGGTACATCCACAGTCCTCCTGAGAAATGTTTCAGAGAGACCTACGGGTCAGGTTTGTAAAAAGTGTTTCAGCACCTTTCATCCTTTGAAATGGTGGGAATTCAGTCCTCAAATTCTTGAGGAGGCAGAACCACGGTTTATAAGGTTAATCAGTGTTTTTAAATATCAACCTAAGAGTGCAGCTCATGAATTGAAATAAAATATATGCTCTTATAATCAGGAAGACGGCATGCCCTGTGGAATACACACACACACAATTATCACAAGACCAAGTATTACTTCTCCTGGCACAACTTTTCTGGTGCTAACACTTACATACCTAGAGCCTCCACAGTCACAGTCTAAATGCTGACAATGCTTGGATACATCCCCCTCTGTATACCTCTACCAGCAAGTGACTCCCAGAGAAGTTTAATATTTTATTTCTCCTGCTTTTTTTCCTGCTGCCTCCTCTCTCTGCCCCTTCCCTTTCACAGAACTACACCACCAATGAGAAAGCCACAGTGGACCAGCATTTCAAAGAGCTGATCCGTGACCTGGAGAGGCAGAGGGATGAAGTGAAGGCTGCCCTGGACCAGAGGGAAAAGATTGCATCAGAGAACGTGAAAGAAATTGTGGACGAGCTGGAAGAGAGGGCAAAGCTTCTGCGGGAGGACAAGGAGAACAGGGAGCAGATCCACCAGATCAGTGACTCCGTGCTCTTCCTGCAGGTAACTGAGATCACACATTCATTCATTTTTTTTCCCATGAAGACAGGATTTCTCCCAAAGACAAATCCCAAGTTGGTATAAGGTGCGTTAATCTTCTCCAGTGCAATGCACAAGTATGGCAGGAACCAACCCTTACATTTGAAACTGTCTCTGCTCTGGTAGGTAAAGAATTAACTTAGGCATGCCAATGCCCATTTTTTTTGCCAGATGGCTACAGCTTACATCCAGAACATTTGTCTTCCCCCCCCATCTTCACTGTTCTCCTTTGCACTTCATACTATCTGGAGCATAACATTTACCAGTTCCCTAGGATCTGTCCCACATCTCTTCACATCTCTTATGTTCCTCAGTAACCTCTCCTTCCTTTTTCTTTTTTTTGGCAGGAGTTTGGAGCTTTGATGCGGAATTATGTCCCCCCTCCATCTCTTCCAACATACAGCGTGCTGCTTGAAGGGGAGAGCATGAGCCCATCCATGGGACTCCTCAGAGATGACCTCCTAAATGTCTGCATGAGGCATGTGGAGAAGATCTGCAAGGCTGACCTTGGCCGCAACTTCATAGAGAGGAACCACATAGAGAATGGTACAGTATCTAAGATCTGTCCCTTCCCTCCCTCCCTGGACAAAGTCTAGCTCAGAGGAGATGAAGTGTGGTGAAAGTGCTCTCACAGAGGAGAAAGTAAGCAAGGACCTAAGGAAAGAGGGAGAAACACTACCTGTAGCTGGAATTCATTTCTGGAATATCAGAGCTATCCTACCAGACCTATGTGGGGATGGAGCCAGCTGAATGGCCAGGGATTTGAAGTACCTCATGTTTAGGGGACCCAGGAGCCCAAATTAACCTTGTTTCCCTGAGTACTGTTTCATGTTGTGGCTTCACAGCGTTTAATAGGTTCAGCCACCTCCCATGTGAGCAAATGAGAGCAACATTTCTCTCGGGGGTCGAGAACAGTGACTCTTCCCTCCTGCACGAGGCCAGCAGGGACACTGCCTTGAGCCAGGCTCCGACAAGGCCCACATATACTAAGGCAACTCACTAGGTAAATTGAGAAGGCAGCGGCAGAAATGTGAATGTAGCACATTACCCCAGTAAGGCATCTCTGAAATCCTGTCATTAGCCTATTTATACACATTTGCTGTGCCAGTACCACATACCATTTTACAACAGCCCATTTCAGCCGCTGCTTGCCTAGCTGGAACATGAAATACCCTGCAAGCACCTGTCATTCAAAATCTAGTAACAGATTTTCCAAGTAAAAAGGTCTCCATTTTGGTGTTCAGGTAAAGCTTTCACTTGAACTGGTGTAGCTCTCTCTGATCTTACTTCTCTGCATGTTCCACTAGGGACAGGCTTGTTTCCCACCTGCCCCAAGCCAAGGTGTTCAAGGAAAACACAGCGCCAAATAGTCCCCATGCTTCAGTGATGTTTAAGGATCTTTCTTATGTGAATAGAGGTATCACGGTCAAAATCACAGCACTGCAAGGAATCTTCTAAGTCTCAGAACCCACTTACTTTCTTTGTCTCCCAATTAGTTCTGCAGGAAGGATTTATCTTGCATCAAGCTCACACGTAAGATTAGGAGGACAGGGCACTAGAATGGGACTCCACAACTGATGTTCACTTCCCAGGTCACCCACAAATGGCCTTTATAACCTCGGGCAAGTTACTTAATCCCATGAAATGACCTCTTGCACAAAGAATAATAAGGATCAGAATTAATTGTTATCTTACCAGACTGCTTTAAGGATATAATCTATTAATAATTGTGGAACCCCAGATACCATAACAATAAAGGTCAAGAAGCTAGATAGGTAACATGAGGATAAATTGCATCCTGCTGTCCAGGAGGACGTGTAATTTGAATAGACACAGGAATAATCTGAAGTCCAGTTCATACAACACAAACAGCCGAGGAACTCTGCAGCAAATCTGCAAGATCACTGTTACTTCCTTCAAATTCACAGAACTCACTAGACATTTTTCCCATATTAATAGACCGACTTTTTTTTCCTGGGCAACAGTCATGCAAATCACTACAACTTCCTTCCAGAAAAGGCAGATCCACATTACAAGATTATATGATGAAGGAGCAGGAGAAGAAACAACCAAAAAAAAACCAAACTGAAAATCCAGAAAAAATACAGCCTGCTGAGAAGATGCATAGAAGTCAGAACAACACGGTTTCAGTTACTGGTCAACATGTAGTTCAGAGCCTGGGTTTTGTGAATCAGCCTGTCTGGCATTCACAATCTAGAGCAATAAGAATGAAGGTGACATAGGACCAGAAAACATTTAGATCTGTAATAAGAATCACTAGCATTCATCAAGTGACAGCCTGCTGCCTTCCTACGTTATGGAAAGAAAGAGTAAGTCCCTGGCCCCAAGGAGCCTGCACTGCAAACAGTTTATTAATGTTTATCTAGCAACATCACTCCCCATGAGACATGAATTAGATGGACTTCTGGTACAGGGAACCAACCTTTCAGAAAAGTCAAGAATCACATTGAAAGTGTTCACCACACATAGCTAAAGCCAGATTTTTACACTCTCCCTACCCTTCAGGTAGTACCAGGGATTAACATTACTTGTCTTCCAACATTTAACACTGGTCAGATTCTCAACACTCCACGTGCTGAGGTTTGCTGAGAATTTTTGGGTATAACTTAATACAAGTAGATGACAGGCAGTTCAGATCTAAAAATCACTTTGGTACATTTTTCTTTTCTCCTTCTTTGTTCACCTGGAGATTTGCAGAATTTCCAAGCTCCGATGGCATAATGCCAAAGGGTTTTTGATGCCTGACTACTCACAGCACTTCCAAAAACCAGAGGAGTAGCATAAAAGCTCTTTGCATTCAAGTTACTTTGGAAGTTACCTTCCATCTGCTGAACTGTTTTTTGCCAATCCTGAGGCAAATACATTTTACTCCGCCATTTGTACAACCCAACAAGAGTATGCATGTGTTCAGTTCTAGTAGCTCTGGATAAAGACTGACTACTTTGTGATGACTTGATCACTTTTAATTCGGGTCCCGCTCCATGTTACTGATGCCAGAAGTCCTCGATGGTACTTGAAATCTGTAGGATTCAAGTGTCAAAACATTTCTGAGCAGGGCAACAATTAACTACTGCCAGAAACCGGGGCACTTTCAGAAACTGTACCAGGGATCTAATGGACACAGCTTGGAGTCTGCCTAATGAGAAGAACAGTGGTACCCACTCAGTTGGGAAATGTTATTTAAGGTGAGTCTCAGAAACTTCAGAGCTCTCCATTTTTCAAATCACTGTTACACTTGAAAGAGGACAGCACTCTGCATCTAGTGACTGCAAGGAAATAACTCCACAATTACTTAATGGCTTTAATTAACTCAGACTCCCCCTGAGTCATTGCAACAAATTCATTTGCAACCGGCTTGATCTTCTAGTGTAAAAAACTTCCCAGGAAGAAATATTATATTAATGGAATGAAACCTGCTTAATAGCAGACTCCAAAGGGAATCCACTTGCTTTTAGTTGTCATAACAGGTACCTACTTAGTAGTGTGGCAAGGAGACAAATAATCAGAGAGCATCCAGGGAGTTTAAATAACACAGAAATAAATTGGAGAAATAACATAAAAGTTTGTTCAGTGACTTAAGAATCAAAGAATGGAACTATTTAAACACGGGAACCAAATTTACCCCCTTGCAGAGAACAATAGGTTTATATAACACTTGAGGCCTTAAAATAAAGTATTTTTATGAGCGACTGTACTGATAGAGCATCAACTGCTAGCTTCCATCTACTTTGCATGAAGCCTGAACCAAACGCCCTCGTCCAAGAGCCCCAGAGCTGTTTGCAACTGAGGTTTAGCATCTTTCTTTAAAAATGGAACAAACCAACCCACTGAGCCCTCCCAACAGTGACTGTCTTGAGCTTTGTAATACTTGCAGTTCGAGATCTGCTGGTTGAGAGCCAGCTCTGTGCACAGGTTAAACACACAAAAGAAGCCAAACCCAAACCACTGCTTTTGAAGTGGGATATATTTTTAGCCACACAGCAGTATTTTGGTAGGAAAATGCCTCAACCCTCAAGTCTCCTTATGGATTTTTGGGAGATAGTGTATCTAGTGTATGGCTGAATGCTTCAGCTGTGCTACGCCTCTGAGGGAGCTTCCTCTTTTATCCCAGGCTGAACCTCTGGGCAGCTATCTGCCAGCCAAAGAGTCCTGCAGATTAATTTCAAAAGCAGAGAACTTGTTTTCAAAGGGCAGAACCATCTCTCCTGCAGCACCTGAGGAAGCAATTCCAGTCTGTTACCCCCTTGCCCCTCCTCCCGTCCCTCTCAAGGCCACTCAGCTGCCGCCTCCAGCTCATGCCCTGCTCTGCTTTTCCAGGTGACCATCGGTATATGATGAACAACTACGAGTGGAACCAGCCCGACAACTTGAAGAGATTTTCCATGTTCCTGTCTCCCAAAGGTACGGCACCCTGACGGTGGTCTGGTTTCCTCCAAACACAGCATAGGAAAGGAACTTCGTTAATGATTTGTCCCTAAATTTGCTTTCCCTGGTATTTCCGGCCATCCCCTAGACAATATCAGTCCCTCTGCATTTGTTTATGCCAGGTTTTCTTTCCAGCCTGAAGAGCTTTGAGAAGTTTTTTTCATCTCAAACAAGGCAGCAAAGGTTCTCAACCCCAGAGGGGAGAGCTAGAGCAACTGAACTCTAGTTGGTGAATATAGGGGACTTTTAACATGTGTTACTAGTCAGTGTTATCCTCCACCAGAAGCTTATTCCACTGTGCTCTCTGGGAAAGCTACATTAGGCTTGCTCTGCATTAGGATTTTACTTTCACCAGAAAACATACTTTTTCCCTGCAGGGAAAGGATAAACTGAGGATCGTGTCCTAAAAACGCAGGAGTCTGGAGTTTCTTTCTGAGCTCTGACACTGACAACATGAACTCTACAGGATGAGTCTTTGGAGTGAATGACTGTTTTCAACACACTCAGTTGTAAAAATGGCAGTTGTCTATTTCTAAATTAGTGTCCAGAGTCGCCTATTTCCAAATTAGCATCAGGACCTCCCGAGCGAGAAGCAGCGAGCGCTATAAGCCTAGGCAAGGCAATGCCTGCAGAAGCAAAAGAACAGAAAGGGTAGCACAGAATAAGTAACCAAATTTCCTCTGGTCCCTGGAGAGCAAGGCCCTGCCTGCATTTGCCAGGTGTTTACAGCTGCTGTTCTGCAAAGCCAGATGGCGGGCAGGGCGAGGGGATGTGCCAGCAATTAGCAGTGGCACTCCCCTGAAGGTGCATTCCAAGCGCGATGTTGCCTGCGCCCCTGTCCTGTCCTCTGGGTCCCATGGGGATAGCCCAGATCCCAACACTGAGCCCTTTGTCTAGATTTCCACTTTGCCCTTCTCTGCTGTTACCAGCCCACGCCTGCCAGCCCTTCCTGGCCCTGTGGGAGCGAGGATGCCCTTTATCAGGGGCCGAGGCGACATTCCCAGTTCAGCGTCCGCGAGCCTTTAATGGGACTGTCCCCTTCAGGCCCCCAAGTGAGGGGGCAGAGGGGCATTTTGCCAGTGGTGGGTTGGTTTTGCAGGGAGCCTGTCTCCAAACACCGTCTGGATGGTTATAGCTGCTGCTCTGCCCCAGCTGCTGCGGGGCTTTACAAGCCCCGTGCTGTCAGGGAAAAACACACGTTCTGCTAAGAGGAGCTGCCAGGGTTGGGGAGAGACCCCAGCCTCAGCCCTGCACCCTAAACTGTGTTCAGCCTGAAGGGATGGCTGACAGTGAGTTCTAAAATTACATGGGCTGAACCCATCTCTACATAAAACTGCGGGTTCAGGCAGAAGTGGCCCAACGTGTGTTTGAAATGCCCAGTGGGGTGTGATGAGGGGAACACAGCAGACAATGCCGCTCTTGCCGTCACCGCTGCCACGTTTGTCTGGGTCAGGGCTGAAACCTGACATGGCAAAAGGAAGGGAAAAGTCCTTTGTGGCAGTGCCATAGCGTGGTGTAGCCTGGCTGCTCACTGCTCTGGACTTCCCTCTGCTTCTCTCTGGAAAATCAGAGAGCTGAGACCTGGGAGTAGAGGCTCCCTGGTTTCCAGCTGGGATCCAGCATCCCAACCTCCTGAAGGATGTGCCAAGAGACAGGAGGGATCAACAGCGACTGCTAGACACCAGATTTCTTATGGAGTGCTGTTTATTGATGGAGTCAGCTACAGAGCAGCGTGAGGGTTGTACAGTGGCTTGCAGCTCAGTGGCCTGCTGCTTCCTGCAAGGGACTTTTGAATATACAAATAGTGGAGGAGTGTTTGTTCCACCTACACATCTATATCTTCCTGAGAGCACAGACACCTTGCCTTCCAAAGCTACTCACTAAGGAAGTTACTTTGTCCAAAAAAACTAAGCCCATGATTGCACACAGTGTTTCTGCTGAAATGGGGATTGAGCAGCACTGGATTCTCCACCAGGGTGAGGGCTCAAGCGTGATCCCTTACGGGAACGCTCTGATAGAAAGGAGCCAGCTGCTGAAACCACATTGACGGGGACTTTGGGAACAGAATGAATCAGTAGGCAAAACAGGAGACGTGACCCACTTAGCTTGCATGCTGGCTAGCAAAGGATTATCCGATGAATAATGCAATATACCCATAATCATTTAACTCTCTAGAGCTTTCTGTGCTCTATTAACGTGTCATGTGAAGTCCAATGCCGTCTCCAATTCCCTCTTTTCTAAGGAATTCCATAAAATGAGAGGAAAAAAAAAAAAGAGGACCACCCTTTGCATTGCATAATACGCACATAATCCTTGAATATCTCGTGATAGTTTTGTAACACACCCCTTTTCTCGCTAGTTTGGATCACTGCAAATTCTGCCTCACGCCACAGTGGCAAGTCTGTTTGCTGCATTGAGGAATGCTACCCAAGCAGTGCTCTGCACTAATTGCAGTGACCTACACTAAGGAACTGCTTGGATTTGAGTCGAACCTATAAGTTTTTAAGCCCTGCTTAAATTGAAGGAGCCTTCCACTGCTCTTGTCATTAAAGACAGTATCACAGAGCATCTGCCTTCAGGGACGCCATAATGAGGCAGAAAGGAGACAGACAAGGTTTCAAATGCTGCCTAAAAGATAGAGGAACAGTCTGTTCAACTGCTTGACACTCCTTTCTGTCCTCTTCCACTGAGCTTTCTTCTCCTGACGTTGCAAATAGTTTGGCCAAAGGAGGAGATTGGAGAGATCATCTTGTGCCTTTGGAAGTCTTTGAGAATGGAGTAGAAGGGACTCAGGCACACAGAGAGGGAGAGATAACTGCTTAAATAGAAACACTGCTTAAATTGAAAAGCAGTCCACAGGATGGCAGCATAACAGCTCAAAGCATTCATCCCTCTCCCTCTTAGGGGAGTCCAATGTCTCACAAAAGGGGTACAGCAGCACTAGTCTGCATCACAGCATGATGTCCTGGCGAAACCCTGAAGCACATGCCTGTCACACTGGCTAAGACAACGCGTGCTTGAGGAGGGAATGTTCCTCTACTTGAGTCTCTTGAGCTCTAAATCCAAGCCTCTGCCTGCAGGTCTCTTTGCAGAATTGTTACGTTGTGTAGACAAACCTGAGTTGGCAATTTAATGCAGCTAAAGACAGCTCTGTGGCAGTGAGAGTGCTTTGTTGTCTAAATGAGAAGTCTATTCACCATTCCCTAGAACCCAGGGAAAAAAAGACCGGGTTCTCCTCTACTCCCTGGACTCAGATTTCTGGTTTGGGGCTGCTTCCAAATTGGTGGGGACTGTTTCATAGAGCAATGCCAGGCACAGGCCTTTGAGCCAGCTCATCAGGAGCCGACTGCTGAACTGGATGCTCTTGTTTTACAGCCAGTTTCAACCCACGATCATGGGAATTTTCCTCCTTCCAAGCGACTGAGGAAACACTTGGTACGGGTAATTCCGACTTCAGTTTGAAAGGATCTAACCCCCCGTGCCACAGCTTTCTAGCTGGCTAACCAACCTATCCTGCTTCCCCTCTCAGCTGTCCTGTCACCTCTCAATCACTGTCTCACAGAGCCATCTCTTAGCTGGGTTATCAGCACTGTCTGCACACACCCAGATTCAGAGTCTCACTGCTCTAGATGCTGTGTATATAAGAGGGAAAGGCATTCCTGGACGTCAGTGTTCAGGCAGGGAAAGAAGACGATGGAAAGCATAGGGAACAATTTGTAAAGATCCTGAGATACCTAACCAACTGCCATGGATGGGAGCGCCAACATCAGCTAAGATAACCTGTGGAGGTTGTGGCAGAACCAGGAACAGATTCCAAATGCCCTCAGCCAGTCCCAGAAGCACAAAGCTGCTCTTCCCCATCGCGCAAACACCTTTTACTTAGCTCCTAAGTTCTCAAAGACAGAGCCTGCCCAAATCTCACCATCAGTGCACAGCGTCCAGCACACCAGGGTGGGGGTGCTTTGAGCTAGTGCACCAAGAACCAGCAGCAGCAAGTCATGCCTTTTCTTCCCAGATCCCCACCTTCCTTTTCCTCGCCTGTATTTTCTTACTCTGCTTGGTTCATGCTCAGAGGGTCCTGCCTGTCCTTTCATTCACAGGCAGCCTACAAGCATCCTTGGCCACTCCACCTGGGGGTAGAGCTCCCTGGGGGGAGCTCCCGTGAGTCACAGCCACACCTGAGTCGTTCCTGCTTTTCATGCCACAGGCAGGGCTGTCTCCCTCTCATCATCTCTGCTCTCAGATTCATTCTGGCAGCCAGGGCCTGACCCCAAGGAGGCCAGGAGGGGAAGCCTTGCTTTAATTTCACTGGTCTTTGAATAAAGCCTCAACTGCTTGGAGGCAAGGGAAGCTTTGGCAGGTATATAGGTTTGCCTCATTACTCCAGTCTCTGGAGATGCAGTTTACCTGCGAGGAAGCTGCTGCTCTTCAGTCACACCTGCACCCTGGATCTCTCCAGAGAGGGGCTCTGCCCTGCCTGGAACATTGGGATCTCCTCATGCTCGCACACTGTGTACACCAGGACCCCACAACTGCTCTCATCCGCCTTTTCTTACTAAGAGAGAAAAGGGACAAAGCTCTTTGTTCCCATTTTCCCCCATGCTGGTTGAAGGTAGTTTTACAGGGTGTGTTTTTGCAATGCTTAGCCTTCCCCACTGCAGCACGCAACACCATGGAATAACGCAACCTCTTCTATCTTCCAGTAGGCAATGGTACTAAGCTGCCTTTTCAGTTCTCCTCGGTGGGACAGAATCCGCCCGGTGACTTCAGCAAACAGTCTGATGGGAGCCTCTTCACTAAGACCGGTACTAGGCATTTAGTTTTTTCCCCTTCCTTGTGCCCTTTTTTTAGGTGGTAAGATGTTTAATCCTGTTCTTGCTCCCCCAGAGAAGGTCTGGAGCAGTCCTACACCTGGCCTCTATCTCCTGCCCTGACTGTCAGTCTCCTTGATACAGGCACATGTTTCTATGAGCAACTTACTCTCCTGAACCAGGGCAGGAGTTTATTACAGAGTGTTGAAAAGTATTAAGAAGTTATATCTAGTGAATGGTTGGAGGGGTTTTAAATTTCGTTTGTAATGAGTAGAGATGAGAATCTTAGATTATTTTAGAGGCATAGGGACCAGGGAGAAGAAGGTACCAGGACAAATATGTTCATGGCCATTTAGCCTTCTAGCTTCATCAGTGTTTTAAACCAGCTATCATCCTGAAAGACTAATAGCCACTGAGAAACAACCTTTAAAAAAAAAAATACAGTAGCTGCCTGTCCTCCTTCACCTGAATCAGAATCCCCCCTTCACCATCTCATAATCTTCTTTTCACTACCCACTAGTTCAAGGGCACCAGAGGTGGAATCCAAGAGCATCAGCACCTGCCAAACAAGAGTCAGGTCTGATTAATTTTTGAATGGGAGATGGTGGGGAAAGGCCATGGCCTGATAGCACTGAAACTGGTTGTGATTCAGCAGGGTTGGTATTTCTGAATCAGAATGGAGCTGGTATGGTAGAAGGGGGTTAGGACTTATCATGCTACCAGAGGTACTGTCATTAATTTCTGACATGAAACCCAAGCCTGGGCTCTTTGCACTAATTTAATAGCCTATAGTGTTCTTTGCAAGAGTCAGAATGCTGAGTTCGGGACTTGCCCTGAATTTAATTGGACTGATTGCATTCCACGTCTCTGCATTCCTCAGACATTTTAATTAGACAGACCTTCTTTACTCCCTTTTCCTAACTGATTGGGTGGTGGAATAGGCATCTGTCTGATGGCTGTTGTGTCCCACCCCAGAAATGGCTGCATTTCAATGTTAAGCAATGCAATACTAATTATGTGGCACTTCCAGTCCTGCTACTCATCTTGATGCTCGCCAGGGGAGACGGGGACGGTGGCAGGGACTGATCTATAACAGGCTGTTTTATGTTGTCACAGCTTACCCTTCAATAGTGAGACACCAGTCTGCAAAGGTGACGCCACAGACATGGAAATCCTCTAAGCAGTCTGTATTGGTAAGAAACATACCCTTGGTGTGAAAGCATGTGCACAGCTTCAGCAAGAGAACTATCTGTCCTAGGGATACCTGAGACTTGAGAGACTAGGGCTTGGGTCCTTTGGAGATGGGAAAGGAAAAGCTTCACGTCAACAGCTTCTATTATTTTTTTCCATGGTTAACTGCATCCACAGAGGGATGAAGATTAACCCCCACACTCACACACCGCCTCTACAGCTCTGGGTTGTAGGAATAATCAATACATCAAAACAACATTTTGAAAAGATTTTTCCCTGGTCTAAAATGTGATCCAGACTTCTAGAAGCTCTACAAATACTATAGCACACATGAATCCATCTGAAGTACTTTTCCTCCCTACGTGGACATCATACACTCTTAGTAGTCTGTGCCATCTAGAAAGCACAGATTGTGTAAATGACACCAAAGGCAACCATATAAAAGTATCTCACTAATTACATCCTACAGTGGGCAGATGCAACATCAAAGATGAGGGTCAGGTCAGACTATGATCATAAATTGCTAGAACATCTGCAAGTCACTCTTTCTGCACTGTTAGCACAAAACAGTACATTATAAGGGGCAGAGGAAAGCAGTATTTTAGGTCTTGCAATCTTAAATATTCAAGGTTAACAAACAGTTAATGCATAATCACAGAAACACTGAGTTCCTCTATTTTTCTTAACATCCATTCACATTGTGCTGCAGTAAGATCTTGCATGATCTGAATTAAGACCGTCAAGCTTTTGCCCCCATCCCCGCAGATGAGACCTATATTTTGGATTCTGATTACAGATTTGTGAAAGATTATTTACTGTTCCCTGGAAATAAGACTTGTAAGAAGGAGAGGGTTAAGAAGCAGGAGCATTCCCACACTGAAGGAAGAAATCCGAGGAATTACATGACAGTTAGAAAGTGGCTGCCTAAGGACTGCAGCTGTATCTCTCTGCTAAGGAGATGAATGCCAGCGAAAGGGATGTTCCTTGGCAGACTGTATCACCTTCAGAAAATCCAGCCTTGAGCCTCGGAATGTGTTACAACAAAACACATCTCCTAGGAACAGCAAAGTTTTGCAATAGCTTCTGTCTTGGGTTTGATCACTGCCTTTCTAAGAGATCATCTACTCCATCGTGTGTGCGCTCAGATGGAGACTCTTCCCAGTGGTTTTAGATGCCAACCCATCCTCCCCAACGGTGGTGTTATACTGGGGAAGTCTGGTGAGGAAAGTGAAATCTGTTAGCACTGGTGGATGTCAGTATGGTCTTCTTAGCACCCCACTGCACAGCAGTCATCGTGCTGTGCTCCATGGGCACAACCCATGCTCTCCGTAATCCACACAGAGAAAGCCCGAGTAACTTCTCCCACGTGAAGTCACCCACCTTTTTCTGTCTCCCTCTCTCTCCCATGCATACACTTGTAGTGGCTATTTTATTTTTATAGCTTATATTCACCAGATAGCCCTGAACCTAACAACTGAGTTGATAAATACAAGCTTTAAAAAGTCCCAAAATAGAAATACATGCTCTGGACTGCAGTAGCTCTGCAGGAGCTTTTATGGTCTATTGGGCCGATAATCTAGCTTTTAAAATAGTCTTAAATATATATTTAAGTAATACACATTCTAAAAGCTCTGTAAATATGAATTTTCACAAAAAACTGTACTGTTTAAGGAGGAATGTCTTTTTAATCCACCAGGAGTTCTTTAAGATGAAGCCCCCTTCTTCCATCTCTTAATTATATTGGAAATTAAAGCCATAAAATGAAAAGAATTTCAACAAAAGGGAACATTGAGGAGGAGGTATTGGGAGTTAGCACAGAGCAGCAAGATGGGCTGGCTTTGCTGTGCCCGTGCTTCCAGCCTCCCGCCGTGCCCGATATTACCCAGTGCCCTGCAAAAAAACGTGCCAGCGTGTTGCTGTGAGGTCTCTCCCACCTTCTGCAAGTGAGATCCAGGCAGTGGATCAAACCTAAGACAGACCAGACATTAGAGAACCACAGTTGTTCCCGTAGGCCTTGGTCAATGAGTTGTTGGTGTAAGCATATTCTCACCCAGGCTAAAGATTTTGCCTTGAGCAGCGCAACCAGCTATCACAATCAATAAATTGGCTTTTGTGTTTTGCAATCATTCCAAGACAAGGGTAGGCTGCAGGGACAGCTTTGCCACGTGTTGCTTATTTGTAATGTTGCAGATAAGAACCAAATTCCAGGGGTAGAGAGGATGAGAAGAGATACAATTAGGGACTGCAGCAAACAGAGGCAGGAAAATGGCAATTCCTTTAGGCTCTGCCCCTGCCTCTCCACTTATGCATCTGTTTACACAAACATTTAGTACTGGGCCCTGCAATGTGTGGAGGCGAAAATAAACAATACACCATTGTGTGAGAATTTCCATGCACAAGAGTTTTGGCTTCCCAGCCAGAGAACACAAATAAATACCATGCGAGATTTAGTTGCTCACTCCCATAACAGTGCATGGCTTCAAATGTGAAAACTCCCCTGAGTTCTCAGGTTAGTGAGCAATTAAATAGACACTGACAGAAGCATAAAAATAAAGGTGACATTCCTCTTCTCCCAGAAACCTCTCATCTAACCGTGAGTCATAGTCTGAGATTTTAGATGATGCACAGACTCATTTGGCTCAGGAATGAAGTCCATGCAAAGCATGTGTGTAAATCAAAAACCAACACCATTTGCATTTGATCACTCCAGCACCTCCAGTAGTGAAATGAGGCGGTGTTCCTCTGAGAAAGACTGAAGGTGTTAAAACAGGAGTACGTTAAGATCTGTATGGTTGGGCTACCTAGGAGGGTGAAGTATAGGTGGTCAGAAAAAGAAGGTAGGTCAAACTCACATGCCCCAAATTCTCCATTGCAGTCACATTACCGCCCCTTTTACGTCAACAAAGGCAATGGAGCTACTTCCAACGAGGCACCTTGATTCCTGAAGATTTAGGGAAGAGCTGGCAGCACTTGGAGTGAAGACTCAGCTGCGGATTTTCATGGATGTACCTGCTACTGTATTAACCTTACTGCTCTAATCTCTGCCAGGGAGAGGGAAGGTGCAGAAGGGAATAGCCTTTATTACAGCAAACAAGGACTTTTTCCCAAATCACCTAATCACCTTGAAAGCTCCACAGGCCTTAACAACGTAACCCCATCCTCTGCTGTCACCTCCTTATTTCCTCTTTGTCAATGCCCTTCCTTTTGCCTCTGCAGAGCGAGCTGCTCTGCTTCTCCTGGGAAGCATGCATGCTTGGGTAGCACACCCCCCCTCTGCTATACCAGTTGCCCCCTTGTCCTGAGTGTGTTTATATGACCATAGCTACTAAGTCCTGGTGAAAGGTCCCAAGCTGGGGGGGCCAAAAGTCTTCCTGGAAGGGAGAGGCCCCAGGCACTGGGAGCAGTGACAGGCTGAAGCTCTTCCCACGCTTCTCCACCCAGTCACCCAGGCCCTGCCTCGGACGGGGACACACAGCTCTCGTTAGGATTAGGTCCAGTGCTGCCACCTCCCTGAGGTCCCTGCAGACTCCCACAGCCCATGCTGGTGGCAGCTCGCTTCCTCAGGGCCCTTCATGAGCCCAGCTCTGCTCCTGCTGGCTTTCACAAAACCAGCCAAGAGGACCCATGCGGAGCTGCTACAGCCCAAGGCCAGCTACTGGTGGAGGGCAGAGAGGCTTTCCATCCCATTAAAGTACCCCTCCAGCCACCTTTACAAATTAAGAAATAAAAAGAAAATCCATTCGACTAATATAAGATTGATTAGATGCCATAGGTATTGGGTGCTTTTTTGTTTTCTAGTCTATTTTTAAATCCCCTAACCTAAAATTGATTTATATATTGTGGTTCAGGTGTTTTTTTATGCAATGGGAATTAGTACTAGAGCTTTTTGCCTGGGATAATATTTTTTTATTTGTCCCCTGGATAGACGAATTGTGTCAGCACCCAGCTTGCAAACCAGCCAGGGCTGGTTAACCTTTCCATGATCTCACCAAGATTATTTTCCTTGGACCAAACCAAGGGGTGAGGTCCATGCTATGCAAAAACCTCCCCAGGCCAGTCAATGGGAGCAGATGGCCCATTGCAGGATCAGAGCCCTTGAACAGTGATAAAGCAGCTGCAGAATGGAGAATCGAGACCTGACAACTACTTTTCATGGTTTACTCTGTTCAAGCGTTTTTTGGAATGGCTTCCCCCCACTTTTCCTCCCCCCAAATGCTTGCAACGCCTTGCTGAGAAAGGTCACGCCTATTGCTCCCTGAAAATTACTTTCTTGCTAATTCCCGTGCAAAGATACTCACTGCTTTTTCATCTGACACCTCAGACAAACTTTCTGAGGCTGAAAGTTGGTTGCTCCAGAATACTTGAAATGGCACTTATTTTATAATTATTTTTTTTTCCCCTTAATGACCAGAGGAGAAAGAGATAACATGGTAGGGAAGAATGTGAAGAAAGGGAAACTTGGGATAGAGTTGCTGGGAAATGCACTGAGGGGTTTGAGTATGTGTGTGAAAGGATAAAATAAGCTGCCCCCCCTCCCAAATGTTTGTTTTGCCCCCAAGCAGGCGTCCAGTAGTCACTTGGGTCCCTTATGTTCCAGTAAAAGCTTCCACCGCCTCCTTTCTATTCTCCAAAGTGTGGGCACGATCCCCCCTCCTCCTCCTCCAAAACTCAGATATTAAAATTCCCCCCCCTCTCTCCTGCCCTAAAGAAGGCTGGTTTCAGCTGGGATCTGCCCAGCCCCTTGCCCAGCACACAACTGACTGGCCAAGGAGGCGAGTGACCCCTTCCTCCCACTGCCCCCCCCTGCACCCCGACAGCCCCAGCCTGTTTGCTCCCCTTCCTCTCCTCCTCGCTGCAAGGGCCTCCCCCAGACCTCGCACGCATCGCTCCCCGCTCCGGAGACAGGAACGGAGCTGCTCCCCAATTTGCATTAGCCTGGGAGGGGGCCTGGCATCACCCCCTTCCAGCCCCCCCAGCCCTCTCAGCCCCACCGCAGGAGCGTGGGGTGGGGGCACAGCTCCGGCCCCCACTCTGCCTCCCAGCCCCGGGGAACTAGCGGTGCGGCTTCGAGGTGTATTCTGCATGAACTGTTTCTATCGTGTTTGTCTTGATCAGCAAAGCAAGAGGAATTCCACCTCCTCAGACAGGACACGACTGCGCTGATGTAAATGAGGCCCTTCACGTGTGCAACACATACTGCAGAAATAAAGGAGAAAGCTCCATGTCTGACCAAAAAAACCCGGGGATGAGGTCTCTCTTTGTTGTTTGTACGCTTGTAAGAGGCTCAGTGAGGTTAAGTCTCTTCAAAATATTCTTTATACGAGAAAGGGGGGTTGGAGAACCCATTTTCCCAGCTCCTAGAGTCTTTCTTTTCACTGCTTTCTGGGTATTTTGAGTCAGAGTCACGTCAGCTCAGAGAAAACTCCCACATCCTTGAAAGTCAAAGCCAGATTGATGGACGCACTACTGGTATAAAACCCTGAGACTCCCCCGCAGATATACCCAACTAGGTCAGTTCCCAAACACCAGCGCCACACAACTCCTGCCCTGCCAGGGCACTTTTAGAAACCCTCAGCCTGTGCTTGTTCCTGGTTTCAGTGCCTCTCCCCTGCCAGAGTTAAACCTCACCCGTTCCTGCAGGAGGAAGGTGCTTGCTCACATATGCAGAGGGTAAAATCAGCCCCGGAGAGACCAGGCTGCGAGGAGAGCTGCTGAACAGAGGCACTGTTCTGCCCCAGCCTGGACCCGAGTCTCCCCAGGAGGTTGGTTCTGGGAACCATTGGGACCCACCACCCACTTGAACTCTACTGGGAATACAGGCCTCTGGAATTGCACAATTCAAATTTCTTGCCTATATCGTGGCTTCTCTTGTCTCTGAGGGAGCAAATAAATCCCCCCGTGGGCTGTTAAAGATGCGAATTCAAGGCTGGAGACACCCAGAGGTAGCCCTGACAGCCTCTTGAAAGAGTAATTGTAGATGTGGGTCTGTGGGGACAAGAACAGATGCAGGCAGGGTTTATTCATTTACCCTAGATGCACTAAGGCAGGGAGCTTCCCAGAGGATGCCTGGCATATTTCTTCTCCCAGGTACTGGATACCAGCTATTTTTCCCCAGACATTGCCGACAGTAATTCCCAGAGAGTGAGGATGCCACCAATTCACTTGAGAAGCTAGTAAATTCTCCTTGTTTACCCCACATGGGAGTTACCAGAGAAGAGAGCTCAGCTCCTTCCCATCAATTCCACTCACTGCCTCCCATTACTGTTATTACTGTGATTAAAAAGCAATCAAAGAGAAATCTTCTTCCTGTCCCAAAATTGCTGCAAACATCTCAGTTCCACCTCCTAAGCATGAGAAGAGCAAGTCACATTCGGCGCTCCTGGACTCTGCAGCACTAGAAAAAAAATAATAATGGAGCTGATGGCCTGAGTGGTCTGAGGCAGCGAGCAGGACAGGGATGGAGTAATGAAGCTGGTCGGATCTGGGGTCAGGCATCAGCTCCCCATCCTAAGGGGATCCCTGGGAATAGAAACGGGGGTGACGGGTCTCTGCGATCCAGCCAGGGGCTGCAGAGGGGCAGAGGACGCTCAGACACCCAAAGCTGGGCTGTCAGAGCAAGGCTCAAAGACAAACCTCAGGGTCAGGCTGTCTCAGAGGGGAGCGAGCAGCCGTGACCCTTCTTTGGAGGGCCCAGATGTCAATGGCATCAGGAGTGACCTCCCTTTTTTACCCCCAGCAATTTGTGATTTCCTGAAGGTTTAGGCTTCTGGGTCTAGTTTCCTAACCCAGAGAAAGCCGTTTCTCAGCACAGACTTTATTCACAGACCCCCACTGCCCCCACCAGAGCAACCCCAGCCTCTCCCCCTCATCCCTGCACAGCTCCTCAGACCCAGCCTGACACCAGCCCAAAGCATCCTCGGCGCAGTTCAAGGCAACATCTTGGGGTGCAGGTGTACACGGGGGTGCCACAGGGTGTATTACTGCATAACTCTCTGACTGTAACCATAGCCATCTGATAATCAAAAAAAGACGCAAATAAGGATAAGTTGATGCTGAATTTTTCTAGCTTATGTGTAGTTCTGAACTAGAATGATGCATGATCTGTGCTACTCTGAGGGAAGCATAAACAACGTGGGGACAGACCCTCTCCTTGGATGTAAATTGGCTGCAATAGACAGTTAAAAATCAAAGTAAGTAGCTCCAAAAGCTGATCATCTTTAATAATTAGTTCAGCTCACTCAGTCGCTTGACTTCTGTCACCACCGCAAGACCCTTTTTTATCTTTGTACATATTAACTATAAAGTTTTAAAATGAACAATTCTTCAGAGGCATAAACAAGAAAAATAAAATCTAATTGCTTGTGAACCTTTAAATTTTTGCAATATCTTAATGACATAAATTTGCCACTCTCTTGCACAAAGATAACACGGAAATAAAGTGTTTGAATTTGCTAATTAACAAGCATAAAATTCAGGGACACGTTCTTAATAAAACTATTGGGATGTTCAAATCAAAGACTATGATAGCTTCTGGATTTTCATTGCCAAGAATCTGGTCTTTAGACTTTTAGCTACAGACCTTGAAATGAGGCAGCATTAACAGAGCATTTCCTGCAGCCCCCGCCGGAGCAGAGGGGCACGGTGACACCTCTTTCAGACCCCCTCAGCCAAGGTCTAATTCTGCCCTGAATATTATTTTCAACACTTTCTCTCTGAGAAGGCAGGGAAGCACAGCTGGCAGTTCCCTCACCAGGAGACAGAGGCACAGACCAAAGGGAGCAGCTTCTCTGGCGTTGCTGATGCTGGACTTGGTGCTGTTGGGCGCGTTCCAGGGAGGACTCAAAGCAGATTGTGTCAAATTCTATCTCAAACTGTTCGTTGACTCGGATAAGGTCTGATACCAGATGCTTTACAGTAGTGCTAGCCCATCTCCCCTGGACTGCAGTGTTGGACAAACTTCCTATGGCTGGCACCCTAAACCTGGTTAGTCTGACTTCCAGGAGCTCTAGGAAGAACTTGACAAGTTCGAGGTGCCCCCGAGTCCTGCTGAAGTTGGAGGGGGCTGAACGGGCCAGCAGATCCAGAGTCAGCAGGAACAGAGTCTGCTCTGCTGCTGTTGGGAACTGCTCATCAACCCCTGCACCAGCAGCAGCGACTCACACTGATTTTATTAACTTGCCCAGCACCAGAGCTGCTTGGGAAATGCTTTCGGGTCCCTGTAGCTCAGATGTCACAGGACAGCTGTCTTGGTTTTACAGGGACATGCACAGAAGGTATTTTTGTGGGGCCTGAGAGAGAGACCTGTCTCAAAGTCCACAGCAAGAGCATTAGGACTCAGGAGTCCAGCCTTGCATTCCCTGCTCCAGCAGTTTGACAGACCCCATTACCTTTTCACATGCCATTTGGCTGCTGTCAGAAGCAAGAAAGCTTCTTAACAGAGAAACCTTTAAAGGCCACAGCCTGCATATGTGTGCTCTTTACGTGGAGCCTCCTTCAAAGAAAAGATTTACTTCAAGTTTTCTCTTCCCGCTTGGGACCTCCAGGGGACGACAGCTCCATAGCCATGCTCTCCTGCCTGCTTAGGGATTCTGTGAGTACTTTCCCATTGCAAATCCTGGAGGATTTAATATCCACTCTGTAATCTACTGGCACCAACAGGCATTATCTAACTAAACCTTAAATTGAAAATGCTAGTCTTTCCATTTTCCCCAAGCAGTTGTGAAAAAGTCGGATTCTCGTAGTCCGATGTAATTTACTCTCACTCTAATTAAAATACACCAGTCAGCTGTTCCTGGCAAGATACTCAGCTGGCTGGTGCTGTGAGTGCCAAAGGCACATCAGGACCTGTGTGGAGCTGGTGGGTGGGACAGTGGTGCCCCAGGTCTCCCAGACTGGCTCTGCTTTATCAGACCTGCCTCTGCTCTGCCTCCCCATACACCAGCATGCTGAACTCTTCTCTGTTTTACTGTGGACCAGTCAAGTTCTGGCTCTACTGGGGCCAAGGATTGTCACTGAGGGCATCCACCTCCTTGTCCCAACCCCTTACCAAACCTCAGCAGCAGGGCTCAGCAAGGAAACTCCTTAGTGCCTGTGTTTGGTTCTGCAAGTGTGGGAACTCATTGGTGACCACAGAGACACCCTCCACCCAGCTCACTGCCCGGGCACCTGATGGCAACAAGAGTGGCTACCTGGCTGGGCTAGCAAACACACATGGCTGGGGCATGCAGTGGGGACCTGCTGGGGAGGAGAACAGGCAAGAGGGACCCGAGATACACGTTTAATACAGATGGACATAGGCCAGTGAAACAGATTTGTGACCTTGACCTTTCTGTTACACCACGTATAAATAAAGAAAGAATAAAGAAACAAAGTTTCTGTGCTTTTTGTTCCTTCTCATTCATCGTACTCTATCTTGGCTGAATCACCGAAGTCTAAGCACCAGCCAGCAATATTCATTTAAAGGCCACAGCCTGCATATGTGTGCTCTTTACGTGGAGCCTCCTTCAAAGAAAAGATTTACTTCAAGTTTTCTCTTCCCGCTTGGGACCTCCAGGGGACGACAGCTCCATAGCCATGCTCTCCTGCCTGCTTAGGGATTCTGTGAGTACTTTCCCATTGCAAATCCTGGAGGATTTAATATCCACTCTGTAATCTACTGGCACCAACAGGCATTATCTAACTAAACCTTAAATTGAAAATGCTAGTCTTTCCATTTTCCCCAAGCAGTTGTGAAAAAGTCGGATTCTCGTAGTCCGATGTAATTTACTCTCACTCTAATTAAAATACACCAGTCAGCTGTTCCTGGCAAGATACTCAGCTGGCTGGTGCTGTGAGTGCCAAAGGCACATCAGGACCTGTGTGGAGCTGGTGGGTGGGACAGTGGTGCCCCAGGTCTCCCAGACTGGCTCTGCTTTATCAGACCTGCCTCTGCTCTGCCTCCCCATACACCAGCATGCTGAACTCTTCTCTGTTTTACTGTGGACCAGTCAAGTTCTGGCTCTACTGGGGCCAAGGATTGTCACTGAGGGCATCCACCTCCTTGTCCCAACCCCTTACCAAACCTCAGCAGCAGGGCTCAGCAAGGAAACTCCTTAGTGCCTGTGTTTGGTTCTGCAAGTGTGGGAACTCATTGGTGACCACAGAGACACCCTCCACCCAGCTCACTGCCCGGGCACCTGATGGCAACAAGAGTGGCTACCTGGCTGGGCTAGCAAACACACA